GGATAGCTAGTACTTTAAAATTAGTTTTTTGTTTCTACTTTTGTATTTACTCCATATAAAAATTAAATAAAGTTATTAGCAGTACCACATCATTAAAAAAAAATGATTTTGACCATTTTGACCATTTCAGATATCCGAAATGATCCATTTCGACTTCATATATAGCTAATACCACTGACAATACTGATAATTTATCTAAAATGGGATTTGAACTTGAAGATGTATTAAAACAAATAGATGATATTAAATAACCTACTTCTTTTGACAAGTATTTTTATAACACTTATTGCTTTACCAAGCCACTCTTCAGCTTTTGCAAAATGTTCTTCAAGCTTCTCACAGTTTACACACTTTTTTTTTAAGTCCTTCTCACCAGTCAGGTTAGATCCTTCATGTGAAATTGGTTTTTAGTCAGATCAAGAATGTTTTGAACCTTTCGAATCTATGTCATACCTATATATAGCATTGGTTCAGGTTCACCATTATCAATGTGAGCAAAATTTCCAGTAGCTGTGACAATCTTACCATTCTTATCCTTTACACTAATTGACACATCTGTATACCATCCCAATGATTCGGTTATATGTTTAGAGTTACTCTTTATAACAAAGTCAGATGGCTTATCAACTTTTCATCCAAGAGCATTAATTGTTACATCATTCATTCTCCTGAATTCACTCATGTTATCTAAAAAAAGAATTAGTGATCAATAGGTTATTTATATTACAATGCAAGTATTGTAAAGATAAAAACCATTCATCTTTCTTCGATTCCTTTCCCTTCTCCTAAGCTTTATGTGTCAAGCACATCTTTCGCATTGCCAGTGAAAGTTTTGGCAACAGCTCATCATATATTTTGGGTTGGCTAAATTCTGGGAGCAACTTGTTATTTACTAGTGACTGTTTTTTTTTCCAGTACATAATACCACTCATTACCTGCTTTGTCATAACTATCTTCCTCATTATCATCATCATCTGAATCAGGAGATAAGTATTGGGGATGTGTGGATTGAATAATGCTGAGTAAAATTGGATTTAGCTACAAAATTTAACTTGGGACAACTATTTTTCTTAAGCCTTTTCTGTCCACAATTACTGTAATAAAAAGGCTTTCGAGATTGATCATTAAGTGTTATCCTACCAAACTTAAATGTCATCTGACCAATTTCATCTATTTTTGATTCTAATCTATCGATTCTAGATGATTGCAACTTTTCTGGCTTTTACAGTTTAGGAGGTAGTCCATAAGCTTTTGCAACCTCTCTCATTATTTCTTCCTTAGTAAGTGTATCAGAAAAAGGATTAGCACTTTCATATGTATCACAAATCTGTTCCATATTTTTAGGAGGAACTGGTGAAGGTATCTTTTTAGTTTTCTGGGTCATTTGTGATTGGTAATCAGCTTTTTGTTTTTTTAATAAAAACTAGTATTCAGTTTTTTACTGTGCTAGTGCATTCTGAATTGCTTTTTGCATATCTTCTAAAGATATTACTTGCTGTTGAGGTACGTTATTAGAAATAGCAGGAGGGGTTGATGTATAACTTAGATATGATGGCAGTAGTCCTAATACCCTACGACATAAATCAATATCTGCCAAACTATTAAGGATATCGTCAATAGGTCTACTGTATATTGATCAATTCTAAAAACATCATCCCTAATATCTTCTCTAACACCTGATATGAAATGTGTTTTTTTCTGTGCAGAAGTATAACCTAAATGATCTTCATACTTCTGAATTTTTGCTCAGAAAGATGATGAACTTTTATGTGCTTCTTGTTTTAATACTCCAATTTCTAACATCTTTATATATCTATTTGCAGATGGAATATACTTTTTAATCCTATGTAACCTTTATTCAGATTGAATTTCTGCAAGGATGACAGGAACTTCTCCTCCAGTATTTACTGCAACTGGTCCTACATTAGTTAGTCGTTCTCTTACTATTGTCTAATCTTCAGCAACATTCCGAGCTGGAATAATTTGCGCTCTTGCAAGACCTAGTGGAATATTTGGAAAAGAATTGACTGCCCCTATTATAGCTCCTGCATTAGCTCCTCGAATATTTGCTATACCTGCACCTATGCCAGAACATTTTGTAATTTCCAGTTTTTATTATCAAACTCTCTATAGTACTATTCTCGCACTTCTCCTTTTACAGATCGATCCAGTATATTGCGAATTCTTGCTTCATCATTTATATTTGCTAAATTGATATATGCTATAAAGTTATTTGCATAATCTTCATAATTTTGTTCAAAGCTACATAATTCAAGCATCTGAAATCTTGCTGGTAATGCCATGTTTATTTAATTAGGTGGATTATTTTGTAGCGCTAAAATTTGTTCCTGCAAATTTAAAATATTCTGGCATTTTGCTTGAGTCTTATTTTTTCATTTTCTATATCGCTCATAGAGCCTGAAGGTAATGAGCATTTCGCTGATATAATAATTGTAAGGCAAATTTTTCTTGTACCAGTTCACCTATACGGGTTTGTTTTCTTGTCACCCTATCTAACATTCTATTAACCTGATTTTGGCTATTAGTTTGCAACCGATGAAGATCACCAATAGCCTTTTGTTCTATCTCTTTAGCAAGTTGCCTTCATATAATTTCATTATCACACTCAGCTTCTGCGTCATAACGCCTCCTCTGTTCCTGAATTATATCCTGATGCAAATTATTTTCTTTTTGGCGAATCTGCCTTGTTGCCCCTTTTATTTGATTTATAAGAATATCTATATGCGTTGCTCTATTATCAACAAAACTATCTAAAGCATTTGCTAGCTTTATGATTGTAGCTATATTATCATCAGAATTATACAATCTGGAGAATTCCCTCATTCAAATGTATTTTTTTGTAATGAGATGATCTTGATTTGGCATCGCAATTTCTCAACTTGCTCTTCAAATTCTTCCAAGCGCTTTTCTAAATCAGAGATATAGTTTTCCTTATCCTGTATATCCTTCTTAGCTTAATATAACCGATTTTTTAGACTGGAGATTTCAGACTTCAACTCTACTATCTCTTCTTTCAAAGCATTCTTAAGACGTTCTATCTCCTTATTGAGGGTCTGAATTTCTTGCTCATACTGGCAATAATCTTATTCTAGCTGATTAATTCATCTTTTATTCTGACGATTACTATCAACTTCTGTTTGCAATTCACTATGAAGATGATAGTTCTTCTTCTCCAGCTCAGCTTTATATTCTTTACATGTTCTTCTTTGTCTTGGATGGGACCTTCGAAATGCCATTCTTTTTTTTATGATTATAAAAGAGAATGGGAGAACCTTTGATCTATATAGATCCTCAAAAAGAGCATGATCTTGATCAGAATCTTACTTTGCAGAAGTACAAGAAAAAAAGTACACCAATTAATGAGTAGAATTTTTTCTCAAAGCTATTGAGTGAGATGAAATGTATATTTTTTCCTAGTTTTTAGATTATATTCAGATTTACTATGCCTCTTCGCCCATAATTTCCTTTCATGAGTGCTAGAATATATTTCCAGTTCTATAGTCACATCATTATGCTTCATTTTGGAAAGGATCTGATCAACAAGTGTGATAATTTTTCTATCTTTAATAGAAATAATATCCTTCAGATTCTGACATCTATTCTTTAACAGATCAATGGACTTTTCAGCTGATGCAATAGCTTTTTTCATATCAGGAATTATACTTTTGAAGAAAGCTACTGAATCTGATAATTGGGTGACTTTCTCACCACTCTCTTCCAAAGACCTGGTCATGGCTACCTCACGAGACTTATACTGCTCTTGTAAATCAAGAAGCTCTTTAATCTTTTTTTCCAATATCTGCTTTGATATACACAACTGATCATTTTATTTTTTTAACAAATTTTTACAGTCGCTTGTAATAGGCTTCATCCTCTGATGCTCTTTTTCTTAATATATTTTTTAACTGTCTGATTTAACATATCTTCTACTTCAGGGTGAATACCACTTGCCTGTTCCAGCGATAATGAGCATTTTCGAGATGTAAGATGTCGCTATATATCTATTTTTATGGATCGAGAAAGTTGGTTAAAGTTGCTTCGAGTAATATATGTGAAAAGATAGCGTTAGTATATTATTAGTCATTTTATATAAAAAAATAAAAAATTCTAAAAATCTAAGAATTTTGCATATTCAGGAAATTTATGCATCAGTTTCATGTCAAATCTAGCAAATTGACTAGAAATATTAACTCTGTCATTAAAAACATGTGACTTTGATCGTTAACTAGTTAACAGTTTTATTACATAATACAGATAATAAATTTTTTATTAATTCATTTTGCAATTACTTATCTTTCAATTTCGCAACTCTGACCTTAAAATCAGCATTCTCAGCCTTAATTTTATTATTCTCGACCTCAAGATTAGCAATGCATTGTTTCAATAAAGTGGTCATTCTGGAATTATCTATTTCAGATTGTATGTTTGCGTAATATAGTAATATTCATACGTAATATTCATGCTTAACATGTTATTATTCAAAAATAAGTGTTTTTGGCTGTGCGCTTTGGCTGAAATTTTGTCATGAAAAAGTTTTTGTTATAAAATTAATTATCCGATACACGCTAACTTATACGAAAAAACATGAATGTTGGGATCGCAATATTATAGTAATATATTTTTTATTAATAATATATACAATTTATCTAATTTAACTTAATCAGATGTTATTATTGAACTATCTTCTAAATTCTACTTGATCTACGTAAGGGAGTATGATGCAATATGGATATGTTAACAATTAAAATATTTCATAAAATCAATAAAGTTTTAATAAAATCGGCCAGAATGGAAGGATCATTTGAATAATGAATTGGAATAGTAGATTTGCGTAATTTGTAATAACAATGTACTTTAGCCTTGTCTCTAATCAAAATATTTAAATATAGTTTTTGTCCTGCTACTTGCACTCCTATAATACTAAATTGATCCTTCTCAGGTTTGCGACTTTTTGTATCCAGTACATTTCATCATTAGTTTCACGCTATACTTTTACATTATCATCATCTTCCTTCTGCTTATTATAAAAAAATTGTGAGCATTCTACGTATATAAGTTTGTAAAGGTTATCATTTTCTTTTGATATAAGCATTATATCTGGTCGTCTTCCTGTATGTCTGCCACCCCTTTTATATGAACTTGCTATACTTTGTCATTCAAAACTAAAAAGTAATCATATTTATCAATTTAAGATTCATAACTTGCTATAGCAAACATAGAATATTATAAAAACTTACGTAGTAATGAATGTATGTTCTCCAAAGAGGTTATCAAATAATGTAATATAAATTGCAGAGACAACTACATACTTAATATAGGTACCTTCATTCATCATTTCAACAAATTTAGGATCAAAAGCCGGATTGTACCAAACTCTTTTCAATGTATCAAGAATTTTTAACGTGACTTCGTTAAGCTTATTATCACTTTCCTTCCAGTTTTCATCATGCAATAATTCTTCTTGCAACCTTGACATACTTCGTAGCATAAAATTTGTTATGAATTTTACACATTCTTCTGATATATTCCGAGGCATTGTTGAGGGTATCATTTCTTCAACTGGTTTCTGAAATGAATATAATTAATTTTTATATCATAGAAAAAAAATCTAGTTTATCTTTCACTGATAAGGAATGAAAAGTTATTAGTGAAAGATATATACCATAATTTTTTTCTTTTGTTTTTTTGATAATCAAGCTACTAGTAACGAATCACTGATGACCTGACTGGCTAAAGAGATCTTCTAGATTAGTTCAGACATCGTTAATCCATTTAAAATAACTACTAACTCTTGATAAAGTTTCGATGTTCTGCTCTAAAATAATATGAATATCTTATATTAATCTGATTTATCAGTAGCATACTGATAAAACAGATAAAAAAGATAACACCACTTACAGCAAGTTTTTCTTTCAACTTATTTATATTGTGCTTAATCTGCTTCGAGGTAAGAGGCTTCTCTTTATTTTATAGATCGAAAGATTATTATTAAATATATTCATATCATACATTCTTCCTTAAAACATACCATTTTTATAACTCCAATGTCCTGCAAATTGCTAATACAATCAAAAGCAATATCAAACTAATGCAGATATACAAATAAGTTAGATAACCGCTGATGTATCAAATGAAAATATAAATAACCGCGTGGTCATCAAAAAATAATACAAAGAAATCACTCGGTACAGCCTGGCTATACAAATGAAACTTTGTGTGATACAATATTAACCACATTAAAATAATCATAGATTTCAGCATAAATAACCCTTCACACTGTTGAGGAAATCCTGTTGGTAGGCTAATAGAATTTTTATACCAACATACTTTTTTCCTCAGAATAATGCCACTATCTGCGTACTTATCATTTGATATAATCATATTATTTCACTTATAAAATAGCATTACCTGTGGTATGATTTAAATAGAATGCTTAAATTCTATGTCATGTGTTTTTTACCAAATTAACCGCTCTTTCTACAATGCCTCTTAATTCGTCTTTACTAATCCAAGGATTTTTTTCTAATCCTTGGTAAATAACAGAGCCTGCCATCAAATGTTCAGTTTTAACGCTGGTTAAATATTCTACAGTTTTTACATATAAATATTCTGAAGACATAATGATGAAGGTAGTTAAAATATAATGTTAGAAGTAAAAAATAATGTAAATTTCAGTAACTTTTCGTCATACTGTCCTTTTAATTATTTTGCAATCTTTTCATTCATGTCTTTTCTGAGTCTAAGTTCATGTTGGAGTTGAAGCAAAAGAATATGCAATGACTTTTATACTAAAATTTTGTGTCCAAATATAAGGGTATGTGGAATATGCATTAAAGATCTTAACATTTACAAAGACGTTGAGAATAATGCATAATATGAACTTTTTTTCATTTGAATCACACAAAGTCCTAGCATGTATATAGATATTATTTTACTCAAAATATAATAAAAATATTCCGTCCCCTCCAGAGCAAATATACATATCATTAAATGCTATTCTACTAAATATTATTTGGCTAAATGTTGTAAGGGAAAAAATTTGAAATATTTTGGGGATCAATTTCTTATGTGTGAAAATTAATTTGTCATACAAACAGGCACACAGAATTACAGATGATTTACAGAGAATCATCTATTACATCATATATACTTTAACGAGGATTGAAAACGTGTTAATTATGTTGCGCACGCCTACATGTATCATAATAGATTTTGAGTTATACGATAATAATTAATGTCATGATGTAATTCAAATAAAATCTTTCAGAGAAATCAGGAGTTGGCCCATATATTACCTTATCTAATTGTCGTCTTAACTGGTATTTTTTGGTTTTTATCCATCTTCTAGGAGAATAATAAACATATTCCTTATATGATGGGATTACTTTAACTGAATTAATTATTCTAATATATTTTGAGTAACTTTTTCTAAATAAAACATGAAACTCATCACAAGCTATATCATACTTTTCTTGCGTCTCAGGATTTATCATCATCTGATCATATATAAGTATACCTAAGAATTTCTTTCTATCAGGAATACTATCATTCTTCACCGTCTCCCAAACTCATTTTGCCAAAGATTCAGATCTCTTCTTGTAATTCCTATAAGCTCGCTGAATAACTGTTACATAGAAATTTTCAAAGCCATAATTATAGTAGTATTTAGAAATCAAGAATCCCCAAGAGCACTTCATTGATCTTTCTAAACTTCTTGAAAAAATAATATATTATGTAATGTATGGTCCAATAAATTATGTAAATAGTTATATATCAAGAACAGAATCAGTCAGTCAAAACAGTTAGACAAAGTTGATTACTGTCCTATCTTTCAATCTTAATGCAGTACCTTTTGGCTGATTAAGATGGTTTAAGTCATTTTGTTTTGCATATGTAGATGAAATAAATATTTTGCTCCCATTTGTTCTATCAAACTGCAGGGGGAAATCAGGTGTATTTTTTTCAGAATATAATACCCCCTTCTGGTCAGAAGATTTTTCACACAATATTTTTGACTTTGAGCTTGCGAGAAGATAGGCTTCTATATGTTTATTAGTCTTGAAACATGAGTTACCCAATGATATTTCATCAAGTCTTCAGGCTTAATCTCATACCCATATCTTCGCCATCCACTGAAATATGTCTTTTTTTTGGTTTTATATTAGTGATCTCTACTAATTTCTAACAATCGAAATAAATAGCCATTTTGCAATTGTGAATATTAGGTCTGTGATAATCAATGGCAACTTCTCTCCCTTCGTAGTTATTATAGTATGTCTTAGTTATTCCTTGCCCAGTTAATCTGAAAAAGCAGAATACATGATAATAGCTTTTATAACCTTCAGTAATCAATACTTGCAAAGCGTCTTTTACACGAATAGCCCATTACTGTGGAGTTTCATACGAACTAATAATAGATAAATTATCATATATTTTTTCGACCTCAACCATCTTTTCAAATTGACCAGGATAAGAAAACCATAATAGTTTCTAATATATTCTATATCATATCCAAGATGATTATTAACCGACTTAGGCACAATTTTATTATAATCATTGTTTAAAACAATGTCAATACACTTATTAGGCTTTGCTCTATTAATATAAGTTCCTGACATATTTAACAATTTATATCTATTTTACAATTATAAGTAGATTATAGCAATTATCGATTTGTAGCGATTTCAGTGAATTATTTGCGATTATTTATCAACTTATACTACTAGGAATATTAGACAAATTTATACAGATTTGTTAATCCATCATGATGTATATTGTATTACAGGTAATACTCTAGCTCCCTATCAGTTTCACGACATTCCCCTGACACTTTCATAACACTAAGTGGTTTCTCAAATCACGGGTGATCAACCAATCAGATTTCACTACCCTTGATCTATTGGCATGATAGCTAAGCCACTGTTATTATTCGATTAAATCATTAGATTGATCAATTAATTTGCCTTGTAATAATCTAACACATCACTTGATATTTCTCTATAAAACAGGCTTCCATTTCCTTGAGAAATTTCTCACCATGTAAAAACATGTCTTCTATCGAATGGTCTGACGCTCAACTTCGCATTCTCATTGATGAATGAAAAGAAAGAAATGCCAAGTATCATGCCACTCCAAATAAAAAGAAATGACTTTTTTGGAAGGAAATTGCTAATAGGATTAATGAGCAGGAAAATACAAACTATTTCATAGGTGATGATTGTCATAAAAAATTCTTAAGTCTCACAAAAGCTTTTTATGTAAGTAGCAATTGCTTGGGTTCTATGAGGAATCTGGATAGCAAAATATACTTATTATTATTTTATTAGATGGCAGAAAGGTGTAAAAAAGGTACTGGAACCAAAAGAAGTTTAGTTGGCGAAAAAATTTATGAAGAGTTTTCTAGCAAGTTTTGGTTAAATCCAGGTATATATTTCGGGAAAAAATAAGTGGGTGATTATCTCTAAATTAACACGATTCTATCTATCATGCTAGAACTTCCATTCGAGCAGGTACATAACAAAAATGATGTTAGGTCAAGTAATATGAGTTCTCCTGAGGTATCATTCTCTCCCTTACCTAAACGACCCAAAGGGAAATCAAGTTCTGAGCAACAACCATTGAAAAAAGCTGTCAAGGAACCCTCTAAATCATCATCACTCGCAACATCAACCATCGAAACACCTAACACCTCCAGACCCGTAACCCCAACAATTCCTTCTTTTTCGCAAAATGCTAACGTAATCAATGTCACTATTAATTATGGCGGTGCACAAGAAGAGGATTAGAGTTTTTTTTTCATTCATATTTTATAGTTGTGATTTATATAAAAAACAAAAGCAAATGTTATACTTGCGCTTCTGCGAATAGTTTAGTAAATTTTATATTTTCATAGTTTGTAAGTGCGATGCAATAGAATACAAATGTAATTAATAAATATCACTTGTAAAACATGAAACACATTTAAAAAATTCGAAGTAAATCTTTATTATATTTTTGTAAAATAAATGTGAGAAAGGGCCGGCCGGCTAAGAAAAAATGAAACTAATAAAAGATATTGGAGTAGATCTCGTTTAAAGGGAGGAATCACGCCGGCCTTTTGAAAATTTACAGTAGTATAAAACATTAATGGCAAAATTAACTTTAGATATTGCTAAAGAGATTGCACGTAGTAGAGGAGGAGAATGTGTCTCTGAAAGTTATATAAATTGTCAGGTGCCAATGTTTTGGAAATGTGCTAAAGATCATTTATGGTCTGCAAACCTTAATTGTGTGAAGAATAGCAAAACGTGGTGCCCGTGGTGTGCAGTTGAAAATCGTCGTACTCGAACGATTGAAGATATGAGGAAGTTTGCAGAAAAGAAAGGAGGTCTTTGCCTTGCAACTGAGTATGTTAATAGACGGGATCCTCTTGAATGGCAGTGTAAAGAAGGCCATAAATGGAAGGCTTCAGTAAAGGATATCCTTAAGGGAACTTGGTGTCGAAGGTGTAGTACACTAGGTCGAACACGTGTTATACCAGACAAAAAACTTATCCCGGTACAAAGATGTATTGCACCACTAAACCAAGAAAATCATGTCACAAAACGCCAAAAATGTGGTCAACCACAATTTAATATTGATAGTGTTGCGCAAAAACGAGGTGGTAAGTGCCTTTCTACGCAATATGTTAATGCAAATACTCAGATGCTTTGGAGATGTGCCAAAGGTCATGAATGGTCTACAACTCTTTATCGAATAAAAAATATGGAAAGATGGTGCTTCCTTGTGGTCTTTCAGAAGCTAAGGAAATCGCTCACAGTAGAGGAGGTATGTGTCTTTCTACAGAATATATAAATCTCAGTGTTCCGATGCAATGGATGTGTAATAAAAGTCATAAATGGTTCGCTAATTTTAATAGTATTAAGCATGTTAAATCTTGGTGTCCATATTGCTTAAATAAACATGAAAATCTATGTCGTGAAGTCATAACTAATATTCTTGTCCCACCTTCTAGCATCCGTCGACCAGACTTCTTAAAAACGTCGAAACATCCCCGAGGACTAGAGCTTGACATCTACTATCCACAATATGGATTTGCTATAGAGGTACAAGGCAAACAGCATGAGCAGCATATAGAACATTTCCACAAAAATGAGGAAGACTTTGAGAAACAGTTGATGCGTGATCAGCTCAAAAAAGAACTTTGCGAAGAGAATTGGATTGTTTTAAAATATGTATGGTATGAGGATCCATACATAGTCATTCCAAACCATCTTCGGGGGTTGGGTCTCATTGAATAAACTCAAAACTTTAAATGCATTTTATTTTATTTTATTTTATTTTTGTGTTGATTCTATCAATAATAATAATCCGATATACCCTGTAAAAAAAGTCAGCATAAGAATCACGTGATAAATATATGGATAATTTGTGCGAAATAAAAATAATGCCAATTCGAAATTCTTTATTATAATAATTGCATTGAAATAAAGCAAACTATAAAGAGCCCCAAGCCCAGCTATACTAATCATGATATAGTATACAATTTCATTTATTGCAAAAGAAATTGACGAATTCTGGCAAATGCCTCCAGTACTTCTCGTCTCCCATTTGGTTTTGCAATGTCCAGACCAGTCTCTGGACGCTCCCCTTCTGGCCATCTTTTAATAACAACAGACTCGTTCTGTGGTAAGTTGAAATCAAGTTCATTCCAATATTCTGCAGGGATTACAGTTTTGTAAAATGTAAAGTACGAGGAGATGGCGCGAATACCAAATATAGTTTGATCCGAAATTACGTCAGCTTGACGTGCAAATTGACGCATATTTTCACTCCCACATGCGAGCATCTCGGCCGCTAATTGTGCTTCCCCAAAACCTTTTGAAGGAATAAGGGCTGTGTTTTTCAGTTGTTTATCCTGTTAAAAGAAAGTTGTTTGAGTAAACAAAATAGAATATTCAAATAATCAAAACATACAGACATCTACAACGATCATAGTAACATTCTTCCTATTAACCGCGAATTCGGGTGTCGCTGAAACATAAGGCTCACCTGTTATGTATAATTTGCATCGCGGGTGGGTTCTAATTTCAGATATAATGTAAATTTTAAAGAAATCGATAGAATGCATATTACAAACATTCATAATTTCCATAATTTCTCACCTAACTCTCAAGGGATGGCAATGCATGCCAGCAACCTGAACTAGTAGATTATTTATCAGTGTGTCAGTCACAGCTTCTTCCGTGCCTTCATCATCACCTAAATTCTTAATAACTTCGTGTAAATCAGTTAAGAATACTTTGACTTGATTATCAGAAATTTCTTTAAGACTGTCAACATCAAACTCTTGATCTCTAAGTGTTTGGATATCGATTTGGGGAAGAGTATATTTCTCAAAAAAGCTAGTAACTAAATAATATCTAAATTATTAGCAATAGGTTCGCTAAAAAGAATGTTGAACAGCATAGTTTGTACCTTTTATATCGCAAGGGAGGACGTCGCACTTGAGAGCTGGCTTAAAGCTCACTTTTAGCGCTCGCAAATCATTTTTATTGAAAGTAGAAGAAGTGGCGTTGAGAATGCCAGTAAAACCCTGTTCTTTAAGCGTGGTCTTAACTATTTCTCGTGATTCCTTAAGGGTATCGTCAAATAATGTGGCAGTAGATGAGAAAAATACTGCTGGTCGAAGTGAGGTAGGGCGAGAAAACTTTGAAACGAGACTGAGAAAAGAAGACATTTTATGAACTGGACAATTTTTTTTTGAATATCAGATACAGTAGTGGCGGAAAATAACTGGAATATCACGTGATTTGATCAACATTGCTCATCACTTCCTTTTTAGTAATTAAGTTTTTGTTTTTTTATGCAATTATTAAACTAACACGTGATCTACAATATAAATATAAAAAAAGTCATAAGATCGGCAAAAAATTTTTTTATCCATCTTTTTTTTTCATCATGCCAAAAAAATCCCTTATAAGCAGTTTATGGGCAAATGAAATTCATAATGTTAATAAATTACATGAAATAGCTCATATTCTGAAGTCTACCCTATATACTTATGTCCTAAAACTTAAAAAATCCGATACTATTAAATTAAAATCACGTTCAGGAAGACTAAAGATGGTACAGCAATTGATTTCAAATTTACAAAATGTTGCAACATAAGCTAAAATTAGTTGCAACATACGTTGCAACATTATAAGTTGCAACATATATAGGTTAAAACTAATTGCAACGTAAGTTGCAACATTAAAAGTTGCAACATATTAATTACAGTTCCCATCTTTAAGGAAGACCAAAACTTTTGTCTCCAAAAAAACACATTCATCTTGGAAAATTAGCCAGCACAAGAAAATGTGCAACTAGTAAAAAAATTGCTTTTACACTTAACCAAACATACCCAAACCTCAACATTACTTCTAGAACTGTCCAGGAGAATCTTTTTAAACTAGATTATCATGTTTGTGTACTAACTTCAATACCAATGTTAATTGATGCTGTCAAAAAATACAGAGTTGAATAGGCAAAGTCTCATCTGAATAAAAATTGGAAAAAAGTCATTTTTTCTGATGAAATCACATTTCAGTTATTTCGTAATACAACACTGGTAAGATACAAAATTGGAGAAGAAAAACCACAGCGTGCAGTTGTAAAACATCCACTCAAAGTTCACGTATAGGGTGCTTTTTATGCAAATAGACTTGTAGAATTCATTGTTTTACTGAAAATATGAATGGAGAACTTTACCGAGATATTTTCACTAAAAATCTTTTTACTGGTGCTACCAGGATCCTTGGAAGAAGGTAGACATTCTAACAGAATAACGATTCTAAGTACAGGGCAACGATTCTTCTTCAAGAAAAATGTTCGCGAGTGCTTGATTGGCTGTCCTATTCTCTAGACCTCAATCTCATAGAGAATTTATGGGCAATAATGAAAAAAAAGGTAGAAAAGATGGTAAATCAACATATAGCACAAAAAAAATCAGTTGGGTTAGATGATTTTTTGTTTATAATTCAGTTTAAATAGGAAAATCTTAGTTTAGACCTCTTATCGAATTTGTGCGTGAGTATGAAAAAATGGTTAGAAGATGTTATTGAAAAGGAGAGTCGAATCATTAACCATTAAAAATTTATTTTTATTTTCTTATAGTATTATACTATATATTGTTAAAATTTTATGTAAATAAAATAAATATTAGCTGAGAAATTTATAATTTGCTAATTCTAGTTATTTTCTGCCACTACTGTAAAAATCACGTGTCAAATTGTAACGCAGATCGCTGTAAACATCAATTTCTTTATTATATTTTTTTGTAAAGAAATACATGAAAAAGTGCCAGCCTACTAAGTAAAAATTGCAAAAATGATAGAGAAGCAGGGTTTCAAGGGAGGAAATTTGCCGAGTCCTAACCCTGTAAGGCAGTTCCTTTCCTGCTACTCTGCATTATTATCTAAACTATCATTAATTTCTTTACTATCTACCTAATTAAATTTTGGATCCCTTTCACCATAATAAAAGTTATTCACAGTATCCTTTCCAATTCTTTTTCCAATAAGATGACGAATTGCACGTCCTTATTCAAGTCAAAAACTCGCTTAAAACAGTTCCTATTTTCTTTAAGAGATGAATTGGATGAACCAGATGATGTAGCTAACATCACATACCTTAAATCTTTCTATTTCTGTGGTGAGTTTACTATTAAGTTCAGTATTAATTTTGTCGAATCCTGCATTAACTTCTTCATTAAGACTATCATTAAATTCTTTATTGATTCTGCCAAGCTCTGCAGTAAAAGAAAAATTAACTTCAGAAAGGCGTGCGGAAAGTTCATTAGTGATTTTAGTATTAATTTCCGTGATAAGTTTACTGAAGATGTTTTCGATTTCCAGTATATATTTTTTGTATCAAGATCATTGACAGTTCATGCAGGAAGTTCATCAGAAATTTTTGTTTGAAATTTGACCACATAGTAGCAATCCCTAGACCAATGAATAAAAAAACAGCAATTAAAGTCAAAAAAGGCATGACCCCGTAGAGTTAAGCAATGACAAACTGGACATAATTAGGTAAATTGATACGTAGTAATTTATTAAGAGATTTTATTAGTGAATCAAGTTTTTTAGATATTAATGATTGATTTTTTTAATATGTAATTCTCTTGCATAAATACGCTGGAAAAAAGGCTTATTTTATACTGTATGCCTACTACGCGCGAAAAGAGACTTTAACCTGATTTAATAAAAATCATGTTTCTTTATTAACTGTATTTGTCATAACTACATTTTCATAATTACATTACTTGTAGATGTCTAATTGTTGAAATAATAATACATGACGTGTTAACAGTGTGAAATCGGTATATGAATACTAATGAATTTGCTAAGATCATCTGTCAATCTGCGAAAGATAGCTTATCCTGCTAGTATTTCTTTTTTTTCGAATTAATGAAAAAATGGTGACCCCTATTTGTGCTCCATACAAATCTACTAACGACTCATATATAGAAATTTGTTTTATTATGTAGAGTGTGACCAGAGGTATATCCCTTACATTTCATAGAATCAGATTTGTAAATCAGTAGATTAAGAGATACAATTTCCATTCTTGTCTCATTCTAACATCAGGAATATTGGATTGACTTTTGTGTCGCCAATTCAAAGATTCATAATATATGTATTATACCAGAACCTTCTGAAAAAAAAAGTCAATCATCACTGGATTAATTATTTATAGATCTAGACCACAATCTACTTCCCCATAGATTTGCAAAATATGACGGTATTTTATGAGATCTTGGCCCTGGCTTCATTGTTATAAAAATAGCATATATTAACTATTATTACAAAAATAACACATCTAGATCTAAAAATAAGAGCACTGTGTAAATAGTACAGGGTGTAGTTAAATCACATGCCCAATACTGCGGAGTATAGTGATAAGCATGATACATCTTTGGCTAAGCCACCCACGTGATTTGAAAAAAAAAATATACGATTCAGTCAATGTGAGTAATTGATTCGCCCAATAATTCTTCTAGGCGGTTACCAGAGAGATAATAGGACTCATCATTGGTGAAACTTTCCTTTCGTATCTTCTATCACAATAATAATATCCTCTATCACATTCACCATATTCATTATATCTACTGTATCCATTATATCTATCATAATCTGATTCATCTGACATCTCTTCTTCAGAATCATCAGAATCAGAATCATCATTACTTGAATGGAGTTCCCATTATTCATATTAATAGGTTCTGAAGAGACTATATCATTCACTTCATCAAAATACACATCATCGTTATCTTCGTTTGAAACTAAGGGTTTTGCTTGTGCTTCCGGTGCCTTAACGACTACTTCAGATTTTTTAGAAACCTCTTCAGACAATTCATTCATCCTTTCTTCTTCCTTAAAATAAACTGTATCATCTGAGATATCATTAAAATTATCATCTGAGTCATGAGTTAAAGTATTAACTACAGTCTCAAAGATTCCCTTCACACAACTCTAGTGTTCCGCACGGATCGGATCGGATCGGATTTGGGCAAAATCCGATTTGATCCGAATCCGAAAAATCCGAATCCG